CCACAACATTCAATGGATCTTACTCTTAGGTTGATGTTGCACTATGAATTCTTTGTTCAAGTTCGGAAACCTTTTGTCTGCTGAAGTCTCAAACCAGGATTACCTTTATGCAACTCATGATAATGATGAGTATTCGGTTTCTGATCACTGTGCAAATTGGATGAGTAGTGCCTCCACAATGATATAGCTATTCTTGTGGAATACATCCAATAAAGAAGGTCAGCAGTTTACTGTGACCTTTCTTTGAGCCCCACTGAGGGGTGTTGAGCTGGATTTCCATTCAGTTCTTATCTGTTTTAAAAGGGAAAATTAGTAGAAGTGTTACCTTGGTTCTTCCTCTTCACTGAGTGTCTACCTTTGATGCTGTTACAGCTACTTTTCAGAGTTCACGGCAGTCCAACAAACTGCATTGATCCCCAGTACGTTTGAAGTGAGGGACTGCAATGATATTCTGTGTTTCCTTATGGATGTGCTATGGGTTCTTTTGTCAAGCTAGAATAATGGAAGTACGATATTTAAAAGCATTTCTGCAATGGCATTTTTTCCACTCTTTTTAGGTTATGGAATTCAAATTTTAATGACTTGGTTTAACTGTTTTTCTCAGTGATAACTAATATTCAGGTGGTGTTAGAATGTCTTGAAAGGTCAGTATTATTTCCTTCATGATTTCCTTTGTAATCTCTGAGCCAAACATCCCTAATTAACAATAATAGGAAACCAGAAGACTGAGCACTGTTGTTTCTTGGCATGCCTCAGCATCTTTGCTCATATAATCCTATAATTTATAATAACTGAATTGGTCATTTGACAGGTAAAATACTATAGAGTAGTACGTTTATATAATGCATTGATATTCTATAATGAGGCTTATATCTGTATTGGAAAATCATTCAGTACATTCCAGATATCATTTTCTATGTATTTTTATTTAAAAGTACTTGGTGAATGTTTTCCAAAACGATTTGTGGAATTGCGCTACTGTAAATTGGTAAAATAAAATATTTGTATCTTTGTAAAAATTTATGTCTAATATATAAAATATGCTCTTATCAAATAGGGTAGAAGATCCAAGTGTTCTATTCATTTCTAAACTAATAAATGCTTGAAATATTTTTGAGTTAATAATTTTATATTGTTTTATATAAATAATTATAATTAAACTTGTATGACATGTGACTCTCAATGACTCTGGAGAACTCACAACAATCAAACAAAGAAGTTACATAAAATCAATAAAACATAAAAATATTCTTCATTATCAGCTAGCCCCATTTATTTATTTATTTATTTGCTGAGGTCCAGACTCCCTTAAGATGGCTGACTCTGCCACCAGGCAAGGAGGAAAATTGAAGAGACCTGTCCATATGTGAGCAGCTGATATAAGATCACCAAGCTTTTGCAACCAGTCAGCTTAGGGCTGGTCTTTCTGAAGAACAGAGCTATCCAAAGCTTTCTGATTTGCCCCAGAGCATATAAAGTGTCAAGGTTCCGACAGACAGAGACAAATAAAGCAGAACTCTGAGGCTTGCAAGTTCCTCAAAGGACATGTTTATAGATAAAGTATCGGCATGTCAAAAGTGAAACCAAGTCTGAATACACACGCAACAATCCCAAATACAAAGTGAAAAAATTCCACCCCCAAAGCTATGCAAGCTACTACGTTCCCCAATGCAATTTCTTGATGGGCTTTTCACAAAACGCCCAGCCTGCAGTCCCGGGAGCAGCCGATGACCTTGGTTCCCATGGCAGAAAGTCTGTTTTGTCTAGCGAAGCACCTGCTAAACCCCCCTCCCTCTATGTAACTGAAAATGAGGAAGGAAAATGGCTGCAGCTACACTCGTTTTCAAAGTTGACTTAAAGGACCATTAGTGTCTGCAGTTTTCCCACACAAACCACCCAATCCTTTAGTTGTAAATCAGGCGTTAGCTACTGGTGGAACAGCTGAAAGATAGTGCCATAACATTATATCAGTTTTCTATATATATGGGACCAGCAGAAATTATGAAGCTCCATAGACTGAATATGAGTGCCAGAGGGTGCTCAAAATAACCCCCTTTCTCCAATATCTGTGTATTCAAATACTGTTTTATAAGATTCTATGCTTATAGAAATTAAATGTCTATCTGGAGACACTTAAGGGAAAGCAGATAAGAGCAGTATTTCCAATCAGAGGCAAACGGGATTTTTATAGCCTAAGGTGACAAATACACTTTGATAGATGTGTATCAAGACTTGATGGAAAAGTAAAATATAGACAAAGGTAACTAATATTAATGAACATTGTCCATAAGCATGCAACATACATGTATACATGTGTACACACACATACCCATACACACCACATACATATGGAATATGTATGGATAAGGCATTTATCTTAGAAATCTTTTGTTTCTTATGGAATTTGAGGTTGCTTTAATTTTATTCTATATTTTATTTCAAATGTTTTTTTTAAATATGTATGTGGGTTATTACAGTATTATCATTATTTTTTGCTTGGGATGTTGCACCTGTTGCCTGAAAAGTTTACTGATCTCCACTGTAGGGAGAGCCAAGGGATCAGAGCAAGCAGAGCCATTTGATGCTGGGAAGATAGGTGCATCACTCCTTATAGCTACTCCTACCTTTATTCAAGCATTCTTCTTGAACTGCAATTTGGCCAAGAATTTTCCAACATATTATAGGGACAGACCTTGAAAGAAAACCTGAAAAAATATTAGGAACAAATGGTTCTTGAATAAAATCAGAACTTCATAAGTAGTTCCCATGGATTTAAACGTAATTTGAGGTCAGCAGAGTTAAGTTCTGAGTACAAAGTGTGTCTTTGAGTTCTATATAATATTAATCCACTTTTGAATCCCAATTCTTACTGCAGAATAAAGTAAGTAAATAATGTGATAATGTAAATAAAGACAAAACTGAGCCAACACTTTTAAAATACTATACTAAAATGAGAGGAAGAATCCAAACAGCAACACATATATGCACTTCCTAAATTGAAAAGGTTAAAAGTAAATAAAAATACAGTAAGGCAATACCGATACAATCAGCGGCAGCCAATACACAATATCTTCTCAGTGGTACAAAAATCATCTCTGAAAGGACCTTCAGAAAGGTAAGTTCTTAATAGCTTCCAAGAAACATAGAAAGGACAGGACTATTCTGGTTTCAGGAATGTGCTACTGTAGAGAAGCAGGTCAAGACCCAATCCTGTAATGTTTGATGGTAGAATCCTGAGAGACTGAGACCATGCCCTTTGTTCCAGATGTAGATGGCGAATCATTGAAAATCAATGATCTTTAAGATGCTTAGGTCCTGGATTACAAATAAGGTTGAAAAAACCCTAGCTTTTTATAGTGAGCAGTGAAGAATCAATTGAAATCTTACATACATTCACAACATTGAATGGCCAGATCTAGCTCAGAACATTTTTCTGCCCAAGGTGAAGCAGCAAATTCATCCTTCCACCTTTCTAAAATTTCAGCAAGTGAATCTCTTCTTTGCAGGCAATGAAAACGAGGGTTGTATAACAGCTGTCCTTCCTCTTGATGCTGGATACATTTTCTGCAAATGGAGGAATAGTAGGGAAAAAAAAATGTTCCTCATGAAAAGATTAGCATTAACTGTTGGGATTGGCAGCAGAGAAATATACATGATCTTCTTAACAATTGCTAGAAATGGGAGATGGGAAATCATGAGTTTGTTTGTTTGTTTTATATAATTTCTACACTGCCCATCTCACCTAGCTGACTCTGGGCAGTTTGCAAACAACATAAATAAAATAATATAAAAACATGACTAAAAAGCACAGTTAAAAACAGTTAAAAAAACAATGGTAAAATTTATAAGTTCAGAATAAAAGAGTTAACAAGTGAACAAGGCTAAGGTCTTACCATTCCTCTAACAAGGCAATATGACCAAACAAAGATCACTTTGATTTCAGTGCAGACTTCCCACTCACTGAATCCTGTACTTCCACTAGATACTCCTTTGAAGGAATCAAGAGGTTATGGTAATTTTAAAAGAAATTTCCACCTTAATCCAAAGATCATTATTTTTCATTGCCTCTAAGAAACATTATATTGAAATCTAGTTTTATATTGGACTTTATTCTTGTTATTTTATATGTACACGTAATGCTTTTTGAAAGAACTAAAAAAAATAATATATGGGTGGAGCCTCAGTAAAATTAACCCTGCTTGGATTTTTCTACTCTCTGTCCTATCTTGGATACCATCAGCAAAGTAGAGTCATCACGTTTGGTCCTTATTTCCTCCATTCCTGGCCGATCTGTGGATATGAGTCAGTGGCATTGATAATTAGGATCTTGTTTACTCATAACTTCTCCCAGCAATGTGAGGGAATACTCTTTGATCTGCTCTTTACTTGTCTCCCATGATGTCAGATCTCCAACTTTAAGATATAAGGGTAGCACATTTTCAACAGTTGCTGGGATAAAGTATCCAAGGTTCTCTGTCTTGGAATCCCAGCCCCTCCCCTCTTGTACAACAAAATTTCACATAGTGTATTATTTTGGTACCTTTGGGCAGTGTTGACTCCTGACAATGACCTGGGGTAGTCCCTGCAGTTTTCTTGGCAAGATTTTAAGAAATAATTTGCTCTTGCTTTCTTCCTAGGGCTGAGAGAGAATGACTAGTACCTAAAGTGGTTTTGTGCCTAAAGTGGCACTAGAACTCACAGTTTTCTAATTTCTAGACTGGCACTTTAAGTACTACACCAAACTGGCTCTCAAATCCTACTGTGTTGCATATTAAAATGTATCTGATGAAAGTTGATATTTCTAATAATTAGATTATTTAATAACCCATTTGAAGAAAAATAGCTGTTCTTTCCTATTTGCTGTAAAATACCTAGATCCCATGTTGTTAACCGTAATATGTGATGTTATTTTATCAGAAGCTACGATATTAAAAATTAAAATTCTAAACAACAGTTTTCATAATTTTCAAATAATGTCCTGTTTTTTTTCTGTTGTTCAGAGTGTGCTACTGCCGCAGGAGGAGCTGAAGAGGAAGGTGAGGCAGAAGCTGGTTGGATTGAAGGAGCTGCCATTCTGCTCTCTGTTATATGTGTGGTGCTGGTTACAGCCTTTAATGATTGGAGCAAAGAGAAGCAGTTCCGTGGACTTCAGAGTCGTATTGAACAAGAACAAAAGTTTACTGTAGTCCGAGGTGGACAAGTAATTCAGATTCCAGTTGCAGAGATTGTAGTTGGTGACATTGCACAAGTCAAATATGGTATGTTTTTTTGTATACTTTCTAGAAAATTTGTGTCTGAATCTCTAGGAGTTCTTTATAACCCATTAAATAGTAGCAAGAAAATAGTAGCTAATAAACTGAACAATTAAGGCTGATTCCTTCTAAAACACAGGAAAAAAGTAATATAACATGCAATCAATTATTTGAAAAAAATGTTCCAGTGTTATTAACAATTTAAACTTATCTGTGAGGAATAACATAATATTATATTTAGTAATCAAAGAGCTTAAGTTTATAGGTAAAATCACTGGTTGGTACCATGTAATTGAGGATCAATAGCGTTATTGGGAAATCAGCTAGTGAAAATCAACTGAAGGATAATTTGAGAAAGAATAGGTAGGAATGCAAAGGAAGAGCCTTAATCAAGACAAAAAAGAGCAATATTGCTTCGTAGCTTTACATTTTGTGGTAAGCATCTATTCTTAATGAAGAAATTGAGTATATTTCTGATGAGAATAATGCACATCCCAATGTCAAGAACACCGTTTCTGTCTGTCTCAGTGAAATGAATGGCATGATTAATCTTTTCTATATATTTGGATTGGCTTTCTGCAAGATGAGCACAATCAACATTATTTTCATCCATGACATGAATCAAAATTCAACTGTGGTCCAGCACATTGTTAAAGTCAGTGGAATTGTACTGTATCTGGAGAATGCAACCTGATATTTTAATCCCTTAATTGCTTATTAAGGAAATTTGAGATGACATCTCAAAGATAAAATCAAGCAGCCAAGTTGGAAAAAACAATCTAAAACATATGGAGCAATTATAATGGTTATAGTTTACAAAAAGTATATCTAGATATTTCTATCTCTGCCTTTATCAATTTATAATTTGAAATATCAGGTTTAGTTTACAAAAGTTATACGTATCTATACATTTTTATCTCTATCAATGTTGCAGAATTATCCTGTTTCATATTAATTTAGAATTGTTCTCAATAAGGAAAGAATTCAGACATTCTAAAAAGAACAGTAGGAAATAATGCAAATCTATGTGCATGTTTCAACTTTGATGAAATCTTTCTCATTTTTAAATACTACACTAGGGACATTGGGGCCATTTAGAATATAATCTTTAAAAATTTGGATTAATCTCTTTTTAGTAGAGCAAAAGAATAGTAAGGACCCAACTGTGCACCAAACAATAATTGTAGTTGTCCTTTGGGTTAATAAAGCTTTAGTACTGCTTGGATATGCTGTGAAATGACTGCTTTTTGTGCATTTTGAATAACATAATTGTTACGTGTGCTACATTTAGTAAAACAATGGAACACCATGCCTAAGCTTTTGAAAAATTTCCCTGCTGCATAATTTGGCTTTTTAACCTCCTTGTATGCACTGCATGTCACTTTGCAAAAATTGGAATCTTAGTTTTTGAATAGTTGATTTCTAGCACTTTCACAGAACAGTAATTGGCTAAGGTACTCAGGGTTTGTTTAAGTCCAATTGAAGTTTGTGACAGAAGAACTACATTTTCTGTACACAGTGGGACTGGAATATTGGCTAATTTCAGATGCTGATGTGATAATTTAGTTATTTTGGCCAAAAGAAAGTTAATATACAATTAAACAAGGGGACCAAAATCACTCTTTTCTCATTCCTGATTGGCTTGTATTCTCTTTAGAGTAATGGCTGCAAAAAACATTTATTTAGAATTGTCATAAAGGTTAAGCATACACAACAGTAGTTGTCTGTCTACAGAAGTATTTTTAAGTTTATCACTCAAATCTTCTTTTGGAGATAAGATAAATGCAGATCATTAGTCAGTGAATGCAGTATATAAATGCAAAGCCTGTTTGGATTATATGGATGTTTTCAGCCTGAAGTTGCAGTATGATGCCATGGTGAAGGGTAGAATGACCAGTTCTAAAATCTGCTTGTCATATGCCAAAATATGCTCTAGATTGATCCAGTCAAACAATATACTGTATATGTGGATGTTTAGCAAAGTTATTATATCTGATGGGCTGATAGTTAGCGACAAAAGAGAAAAAGAAAGTGAGTAATAATAGACTTATTAGGTAGCAGTAGTTAGATAAATTACTAAAAGTTCATTTACAGAAAGAGTATATTTTTATTTGGATTGCAGTTATTTGAAGATTCATACCTTAATTATGGAAATCTAGAATAAGGAAGTTTCATACATTACATGTATGATATGTGGTTGTATACATTGCAAAATAAATACACCTTTTTCAAATTAGATTTTCTCTTAATGATTTTATTGTTAGGTGACCTACTACCTGCTGATGGAGTGTTTATTCAAGGAAATGATCTTAAGATTGATGAAAGCTCTTTAACTGGAGAATCAGATCAAGTCCGCAAATCCGTTGACAAAGATCCAATGCTGCTTTCAGGTATGTTTTCTGCATTAAATAAACCTTTGATAATCATAGATATGGAATCCTTTGTTTTCTGTTTTTTTCTCCTCCTCCTTCAAATTCATTATCCATGTATTCTTCAATCAGAAAAAATATATGAAAGTGGATAGTTTTGTACTAATTACTGAACTGTATTAAATACAGGATTATTTAGTGTGTTTAGTCACGTTTTGGTTACAGGTGAGTATTCATTCTTGAGTGGTCTGGCCCAACTCTTATTTTTTTCTATAAAACTATTATTCATATTGCATAATTTTGTATAACATGAGGGTTTCTAACAATGGAATCATTGTGCTATATGAGAACTGACTGTACTATACAAGAATTCAATTCTAGATGAAATAAAAACAGACCGCTCAGTGGAAGCAATAATAGCACAGCTAAAGCATAAATGTTTGGGATACATAATAGACAGATGTTTAGTGGCTCACAAAGAGCCAGAAGCAATGGAAAGATTGAATAACAGCAACAACAAAATGTAACCTTCTACCAGCTGGTCAAAGAATATCTTCTTTAGGCGAACCTCTCAGGAACCTAACACTGAGTTCTGTTCACAAAGGGTGGGGAGAAAGGAAATCTGATGAGCTGTTGAAAATCCATTGGTATCTCTCACTAAAGACTTGATAAAAGGTAGAAGGACTTTTCTTTTTTATAGTGTATTGATCAGACAGCATGAATTGTTTATTCTAGCTATATTTTGGTGACATCGAGGGCATAAACATTTCCTATTTTCTGTTTCATACTGTTATCTGTTTCTTGGCAGAAAATAGGGTAGATAAAATTCTTTGTGTAGCTGCTGCATAATATTAGCTACTTCTGACTCATGCATGGAGATGAAAAGCAAGTTTTTATCTTTGCTAAGAATAGTTACACAACAATACATTTGTCAATCAGGTCAATTGTTAATAGAAAATTATATATGTATGTATATATTTGTTGGCACTAGATTTTGTCTTAAAATGATGTTTCAGCTGACTTATATAAACCCATTTTTTAAAAACCAAAACTATCCAGAGTAATTCAATTTATTTTTTATGTAATATTAGTCAAATTGTGCATACTGTAACAAAATGCATGCCTAAACATCAAAAATATATAGTAAAATATGTATGCATGTATAGAGAATTCAGGGGATAAGTGGGGGAGAGAGAATAATATCTATCCTAAATTTATTTATTTATTTCAGTGTTGAGGCTGCCCAATTCATTAGTGGCTCCAGGAAGATTGCAGTTAAAAGAAATGAAACCACACATATAAAAGAGAACACCACCAACCATTAGAAGAAACCTAAGCTAAAGTAAAAAGGCTTCCATAACCAGCTTGGGAGAAGCAAAAAAACAAAAGGTTTTGAGGAATGTCATAATGCTGGCAGTCTCACAAATCTTTGGGGGAGAGCAATATCATTTGAGAAGGCAGGTTCTGTAAGATGGCACTGATTTGATGAAATAGGGCCCAGAGTGCACAACTGCTTGATTCATTCAGTGGGCCAAAACAATTACAGCTGACACTATCCTTCTTATATTTAAAATTATTACAACAAAACATATCCTGTTAAAATGACTTTTCAATTGTTAATTTACCCATCTGTTTCATAACGTAATAAGACCCAGAAATGAAATAATTATATTTATATTATTTCTAAAAGTTCTGTAAGTTTTATATCATTCATATCCTTATAAAGGCCAGTTTGTTTATATTTTATATATTGGGAGAGGCAAATAAGATGTAAGAATAAATTCTCCAAAATCACCCACTTTTGTCTTTACAAGATTTTTTAAAGAAAAAAATCTTTATTGCATCTGCTCTTTTTCAACAACTGTTAAATAGGATATTTCCCTCTCTTTTCTACCATTTCACATTCTTGCCAATAATTCTTTTGGTATTTGTCTTTTTAAAATGAATTTCGTACAGCATATCAGTATTTGATTGCATTTGGGTGTATACTTAATGAATAGCAATAAGTATCAGTAGAAAGGGAATTCAAAACCTCTGCTGTCTGCATAAGTTACAATTCCGCCATACCTTTAGTTCACATTGATCTAATTATATGATTAATTTCTCCTTTATGAATTAATGGAACTACAGGTGTCCTCATTTAAGGACCACTCATTTAGCGACTGTTTGCACTTGCAATGTTGCTGAATAAGTGGCACTGAATAAGTACTATTGAATTTTCCCCACAATCACATGATTGGCACCTTTCCCACTGACTTCAACAAACAAAAAATCAATGTGGAGATTGCAAGTTGTAGGTCCTTGCTTAACAAGGGCAACCGGAACTGCCATTGCTAATCAGTGGAGTAATAAGGTTTTTTTTTTTTAAATGATTGCATATTCATTATATAATCTATGTGTGATGTAGCAAAGATGTTGTGTAGATTATATGTTAATGATGCTATGATACGCATGCATCATCCAGGCATGTAAGAAGCCAAATTGCTTATATTAATTAAAGTACAGTATACGTATAAATTTGCCCTTGTATTTTCCAGGATGGCAAACTAAGCTATCGGTACAAGCTTTCTTCATGAAAGCTCAAAGCACAGTGCAGAAAGCATAGCGGGAGATGTAGGTCCAAGCACAGAAACCCTACATTTAATCAGTCACAACACACTGTAGTAGTCCTCAGTATAATATCTGTCCTAACTTCTTTCTGGATACTGCTTCCACATCTGCAAAAGTGGAATGTGTAAGCAAGTAAGTGAAAGTGATATGTGAGTTCATGAATCTCGTTAGTCTTTTCAATAACAATGGTCCCTGTAGTTCCAAATAGCATCTATCCTTTATGGGATTATAAGAATGCCATTTATTGCTGTTATTCCCAATATAAGAGAAAAGCATTTTGCCAAGGATGTGTGAAAATCTGTGATAGACATGAAAAATAGGCAATAGTTCTGTTGCAGAAAGGATATTACATATTCCTGGATGGCAAAAAGGAACTTCTCTTAGAATGAAAATATTCTGCTTCTTCCTTACAATTTACTTCTTCTCAGGACTGTTTTACAGGAATGAAGAAGAATGATCCAAAACATAAATTATCAGACAAATGTTGATTTGTTATCTGAGAAGTACCCTAGTGATGTTTTACCTGAGTTTATCTATCTCTCTAACTTTCTGCATCTAAATACAAAGACTCAGAAAAACTTAGGAAAAAAGAACAAAAAAAGAAACCTGTGTTTGTTTAGAAGTAAAGAAGGCACTGGTGGACATCATGCTTTATTAATTTTCTTTTAAAAATGAATAAAAATGCAGCTATATTAAGGAATCAGGTCAGTCACTGCCTGGAGAAAAAACAACTAAAATTCACATTTGATTCTTCAGCAGAAAGTGCTCCAGTATTTGATTGTTGCTAAACAGAAGCATTACAGCAGGCTTCAAACCTAGGAAATATTTTGGATTCACTGAACACTTAAGATAACACTTGCTTACATTTGTCCTCACTTCTAGGCATGATTGGTTTAATTTATGTAGCAATTTCACTGTGTTGGTTATGCGTTTTTCTTGTCTTGCTATGTATATATAAAGCAAGAAACTGCTTTGGGTTGTAAAAATGATTATTCTTTCCTGCATAAATACTTTTCTACCCTATTATTCTAGCAAGTTAATTCTAAAAATTATGGTTTTCTATTCTTTTTCGGACTCATTTAAATAAAATGTGCAGAAATTGGTATTTATTTGTCTACTAGTTTTATATCCCAGTGTGTATTTGTCACAGGACAAAATCAGGAATTGCTTGTATCATGAGCTGTGACCTCACACAAAGAGAAAGGGTGGATTAGCCCTGGATTTTTACTATAGGAGGGAGAATAAAAAAATTCACTGCTTGTGCTTATGTGAAAATTAATAATTGGTATACAAAAAGCAGAAACTAAAAATTCCTTCATGTCAGATCCTTTGAAATTAACTCAGAATCAAAGATAAGTCTTCGGTCTTATCTTCAGGTTGACCAGGGCATTCTTAATCAGCAGTTCCAAAATTGTTGGGGCTTTGCTTGGCTATGTCAGGAAATGGATCACAGTTGGCCATCTTTTCCCACACACTCAGCCATCACTAATCTGCTTATGAAAAATGAGATTTCTGTCTTTATTCCTGCTCAGTCAGTACAGCATGGGTTGGCTTTCTGCTTACCTGCAAATATGGAAAGATTTTATTAGCACCATTTCCTCCAACACACCTGGTTTTGTGTGTTCAGTAGAAAGCAGTACATTGTTCTAGATCCAGCCCAGAGGAGTTCGGTGACAAGTACTCCTGGAAATGGAAGTAATTATTATACCAATATGAGTACTTAAGGCTTTATTCCAAAGCAGTATATGAAAATAACATAATTGAATAACAAAAGACAAAAATTAATTTAGATCAATGACCTATCCACTTTAGCATTCTGTTCTTACAATAACCAACAAGTTCTCCAAGGGAAACCTATAAGCAAGTATGAGTTTAATCGCAGTATTTCTTCAAAAGTGTGTTTTCCTTATCCTGGAAGGAAATATTTTTAGGATGTCCAGAAACTATTGGTAGCAGTATCCTCCATGAATATGTCTAGAGTGCTGAACTGTAATATGTCTGGTTGTGAATTCCATATGTGCTGTGAGAAGAAATTCTCCCGTTTCTTTATGTTGAATGACTCTAACTTTTAGTATCTAAGGGAAATCTTTTTCATTTGTAATTCTGTCATGTTGCCTTTTACTCAACTAAAAATAAACAAGGCTTGCATAGTAGAAATTCCTTATGATATTAATACTTAATTTCATGTAGCAATTGTATCATTAGTCTCATTATTAAAATGCAGTAAACAAAGATACTCAATGTTTTCTGTGAGATGTTAGCTGTGTCTTTTGTTCTCAGAAGTGGAATGTAGATCACAGTTCAGCATGTCTAACAGTAACTTTATCAATACAAGAAAATATCTGTAGCTCAGGATTAGACTGTAGGTTCCTGTTGCTCTCTGAGTTTGGTTGTTTTCTTGCAGATGTTTCATTACCAAACTTGTACCAAGATAGTATTTGAGAGGCTGCCACAAGGAGGAGGGGGTCAACTTATTTTCCAAAGCACCAGAAGACAAGACAAGAAACAGCAGATGGAAACTGACCAAATAGAAAAGCAACCTGGAATTAAGGATAAACTTCCTAACAGTGAGGACAATTAACCAGTGGAACAGCTTTCCTTCAGATGTTGTGGTGCTTCATCACTTGAGTTTTTAAGAAGAGACTGGACAGCCTGTCTGAAATGTCATAGGGACTCCTGCTTGAGCAGTGGGCTGGACTAGAAGACCTCCAAGGTCCCTTCCAGCTTATTCTGATTCTGATTAGTAGCACTGGTGATGTTACCTAATTTGGGAATGAAACGTCTACAAGAAAACAACCAAGCTCAGAGAGTACAGACACACCACTGAATCTTTATCATAAGCGAATAGCTTTAATGTACTGACTACTAAAATCTATGTTTTAAATATCTTTTTAGGTACCCATGTCATGGAAGGCTCAGGAAGAATGGTGGTTACTGCAGTGGGAGTTAATTCTCAAACAGGGATCATCTTTACTCTACTAGGTGCGGGAGAGGAAGAGGAAAAAAAAGATAAAAAAGGTACAAATTCACCTAAAATATTTTCAAATAATGTCTGTATTTATAACATAGGCTTGATATTCAAATTTATTATATAGGAATATTTGAATTTATGTTAGTGTAATTTAGTCCAGTGAATCCAGTCCTGATTTATAAGGGCTGTGAGTTGCCTGAATTGTATGCGCACTGGATGTTTTAAATACTTAGTATGGATGGTTAAAAATGCGAGAAGGGAATGTGATCTTAAATTACCTATACTTCTTTGCAAGAGTCATTCTGTATCAATATATCCCAAATTCATTATAAATTAAAGTTGTACAAAGAATGATAAGTTCATTGCTTCAATTAAAAATAAATTATAACTATAATAATTCTTTCATCTGGAGAAATTGAACTGTAATATCAAAATATGAAACATAAATTGAAGTATATTAACATTTTAATTTAAAACCATACTTATTTAAAGTTTTATCATGTTTTATTGCTCATGATTTTTATTTTAGGGGTTTCATCTTCTTGCCAGGAGCATAGAGATTAAGAATCCTGTCTGATTTATGTGTTTCATAGCTAACATGAATTAGTTTAAGTTTGCAAAAATAGAGTTGGATTCAAATATTCAATTCCATGAAAAGAAGAATCCCTTCATGGATAAATGATTATATGACTCTATTTCTATGAATGGAAAATGCTTCTATCCATGGAAATGAACATTTAGACCTAATAAAATATCTACAGACAAGCTAAGAATGTTTCCCACATGGAATGTTTCTTGGAAAAAAAGCTGATTCTGTTTCATGGGAAGTTATGTGACAATCACTTTAATCTTCAGCCCAGAAAGCCAAATCTTTTTACCCTAAAAATAAAGCTGTCCTTAAGTTGACTATGTGGACACAACCATGCCGTTTCCTTGGCAACAATACTAAAGGAGTTCACCAATGCTTTCTTCTGGGATTATTATTATTATTCTTCCCAGTCTCTTTAAACTACTGTAAGTTTTGAATAAAATAGTAATTTACACTACTCTTTGAGATTTGGCTAATGATCTTTACAAATATCTGGTGAATTTCTCATTTAAATATTTTTCTTCTTTATCAATTCATGTATTACTAGTTGATTAATAACTATATTATTGAGAAACTCATTCTTCTTTCATAAAAGTCTATTCTGTGCCTATTACAGATAGTCTTTAATACACTTGAACTATAATGACCCTATGGTTATATCATCTATAAACGTATTTTTTTTGTTCACTTTTTCACATTGAATCCCAGCTCTAGTATTTCTGTTCAGAAACAATTTTGAGATTGCTGGATCTTCTTCCCAAGGAAATAAAGTAGCTTTCTTACACATAAAGGAGGATAAAATTATTTTAAAAGCAACAGTTATAGTACACTATATGTACATCTATGGCAATTTATAAATCTTTAAACTTCTTTAAAATATATATAATAAAATTATATATGAAAAATAATAGATATCCAAATTCGGTGATGACAAGTGGAGAAAAATGCTTCTCTTCAGACCTAACTGTATTCCATACTATTGTAAGCAATGGCCAGATTTCATCAATAATTTCTTACTAATTTCATTCGAATTTAAGACAATATATTCCAGATTTCCTAAGTTTTAACTGAGAATAAATACTAATGAAGAACAGTTCCCACAAAACAGAAAATCATAAACTTGTTATCAGTTTTATCATTTCTTGCTAAGAATAATGTCAGGATACAACACTAGCATGAGTTGGAAAGTAATTTTCTCAAAAAGTATGGGTGAGTGACTAAGACTTACTGTTTAGGCATTGTAAATAGAAATAGATAAAAATAGAACCATATAAAGAACCAAACAATCTCATTTGCCTTAGTTTTCCAATATCTGCAGTTTATGCCTGTTTTGCTATTTATTTCTATTATCTTTTAAGCATAGTTCTCCCTTGTCCTATTTTAAATAATAACTTGCCAGGTTAATCTGTCAGCTGAAGAAGAAGTAAAAACTAGGATTCACGTTGTTCATACAGCTTTCATAAGACATTACTACATGTCAAATAAAATGTTTAACATGTTTTTAACATTCATTGCCACGAATGACTGCAGGTTCAATAGCTGTTGTCCTGCAAGTACTTTGGTCCATACATTATTTCTTTAAATAGGACATTGGTATGCTTCCAGCATGGACTTGTGAAAATGGGAGTTGATATACCTGCTCATTAGTTTATGTCCTTGTTCTCTAAGAACATTATACATTCATTATATGTATGCTTGAAGTTTTCCAAAAGTCTGTGCTTGTGTTTCAATTTCCTGTAGTGTATGTCTTTCTTCCTCATTAACATTTTGCAAAAATCATCATGCAAATATGATACAGGAAGATGGGCATCAGCTTCCAGAGAGAATAAGAAACATACTGTGCCATAGGAAAAAAAATAGTCCTTTTAGTGGGACTCTCCTCTCAATGGCTGGAAAGGAAAAAAAGACTTGAATGGAATACTGTATTCAGAAAAATCCTTTCACTATTTAATTTGAATGACAATAAATAATAAATTTGTACTTCTTTTTATCCCCATTTTATCAATTGTTCTCTGGCTGTATGGCAAATCTCTGGAAAAATCAGGTTAAAATATGAATTTGCCACTTTTAAACTTTCATTTACATTTTGTTACATGTACAAGTTTTGTAGCATAGCAAAACATAGAAAGATGAGATGCATTGAAAATGGATAGATAAAATGCATGCATAGGTACTTAGGAGCTTCCTTAAAGCAGGAGTATAAACTTTATCTGCCATGACCACCAACGGTATCTGGCAAGACAATTATAATGGAATAAACAGGCTGCTTTAGAACATAATGATAATCAAACCACATACCTGTCAAGTATAATATCTTGCTTGCCATGATGTACAATAACCTACTTCCCAAGCCTGTTTCCTCTTATTGTTCCTAAGTAGAATGGACTATTGTGCTTATTGACTTCTGTTCCAAAAAATACAATTGTTTCAAGACTTGTAGACATGAAACTCCAGAAGGCTTCCATGTATGCTTTTGGTTGTTGCCACATCTGGCCTTCAGAAGATTCAGTAACATAATAATCTAAAGAGTAAAAGCACTTCTTTAATGATCCCAAGTGTATTGTGAAGCAACGTCATTTAGACATCATTTGCACTTCCTAAATGATGTCTGAATCATTGGTCTGGCTGTAATTTATAAGTCATTGATAACAGTAAATCCAGAAATGGAAGTTTTGGCTGGCATTTAGTCAAACTACAAATCTGAGTATTCATAATATTTTATCCCAAGATGGACTATTATCTCTGTTCACAAAGATTTTTCCCAAAATATTCCTACCGGACTAAGGGCAGGAACCTCAGCTCAACAGTTTAGGTTTTAGAATTATGGGCAGGCAATCTGTCCTTTTAAAAAGCAGAAGACAGCATGCCTGTAATTCATATATAAAAATTAGGCATCAAAATAAATAAATATTTATTTATTTATGAGACTTATATACCGCTTTAAGTGCAAGCACTCTCTAAGCGGTGTACACCAGTAAGCAATATATATATATATATATATATATATATATATATATATATATATATATATATTTATTTACATTGCCCCCAACAATCTGGGTCCTCATATTACCTACCCCGGAAGGATGGAAGGCTGAGTCAACCTTGAGCCGGTGAGATTTGAACCGCTGACCTGCTGATCACAGTCAGCTAAAGTGGCCTGCAGTACTTATTTTAATTTTGTTTTAAAACAAAGTTAAAATCCATAAATGTTTGAAAATCCTGGGCTCAGTGTTCTGATAATATCACTATGTCCCCTGCTGTGATTAAAAATAGGCTTTAAAATGTGCAGCCCAAGACAATGAAAGGACGTGCTTATTTTGGAAGTTGATAAAAATTAATGTTGGCAGGGATTCCAGCATACATTCTTAATCTTAAATATTTAGGAATAGATAAACTAAGGACTAAATCTCTTATCAGTTAAATCAGATTGCTGGTCTAGATATTGTTTGCATGACATTAAAAGGAAACTAAAAATAAATACAGAAAACAAAAAAATTCCCTTAGCATTTGCATTTCTCAGTACAATATGGTTGAAAAGATCAGCCATAATAGAAAACAAATAAAACAGATAACAGCAGAAGAGACTACTTCAGAGAATGTTTTCATGATAGATAATTAACTCCATTTCAGTACAGCTTCACTTCAATCAGTACAAAATCAGTAGGAAACTTTCATGCTTTTTTGTGGCGTAAGAACTTCTTGCTTGTCCTTTTTGTAAAAAAAACTGCTGACAATTTTTGGCTTGTGATTTATCTCCTGTCATCATTTACTGTAAACATCAAACAATATTATAATGAACTTGTTTTTTTCTGAAACAAGACTATAAAGGGAACATTGAACATCATTAGTGGATGTTCTCTCGAGTTTTCAAAAAACTATATCAGGTTTAGCACTGAAAATGGTTCCCAATTAATAAATCAAGAGTTTTAAATAGGGTATTTTTCAATGGATTAAGTATATTAATTATGGATATTGTTACATTTTAGTATAATTTAAAATACCATTTATAGATAGATGGTTTTCATGAATGCAGAAACTTTTAAACTATTTTTTCCTTCAGTTTTTTTTAAAGTAACGTAAGAATGTCTGCATAGAGGAACAAAGGCATTAGAAGTACTATGTAAAGTCAGTTTCTCACCAACTTTGTTAAAGTTTGTTAATCCTGTTAAATGTCTTTCACATTTCCTTTTATATATAATATTCCATGTATGAGTTTTTGTTCTCCACTTCTGTAACATTCTTGTAATAGCATTCATTTCTAGACATTATGTTGCTTACTTTAAAACAACTATGTTTTGAAAAAAAATAAAGCCACATTAGTCCATAAATGTTTCTGTCATGTGAATTTGTTCATATTATTATTATTTTTCTTTTTTCTTTTATTCATTATTACTCAGTAGATTCTTCCCATTCCTCCTTCCATCCTCCTTCAACTACAGATGGGGCAGCAAGTGCAATTACCACTGATAATGCAAATACCAGCTTAGTCAATGGTACGTTAAGAACACTGGGATTGTTTTTATTTGAACAATTTCTCTCAACTCTGTCAGCTTCCCTCTTTCTCTCCTGAACTGCACAGATGTGGGATGTGCATGGGGTTACTGGGTGAGAGCTCCTATTGTATTGCAGCTTATAAGAGATGCCACATAGCCAACCACTTTATAGCCAGCCAAATTGGTCTTTCTCACTCAAGTAACACTGGGACCAGAACAAGTAGGAATCTAGGGATCTTTTCAAATCAGACTCAAGTAGGAATTAAGGACTTTTACTGTTAAATCAGATTTTAAAGACCATCTTCAAGTATATTTCAAATCAGTTTTCCCCTTGCAAAGGTTTTCAATATCAAACTGTTGTTTCCATGCTTCCCAAATCCATACTTGAAAGATGGCATGATTGTCTATTTTGTTTCTCATTCTATTTTTCCAAAGTGGCACTCTCATAAGCATTCATGGTCTCAATGTAGCTTTGGGAAAACAATTTTCTTGGGATCAGGAATTTGGCTTAAACACAACTAGTAACATTAATGCACTTCATTGTATTGTTCCACCAATTTTTCTCAGCACCAAGTTAAGTATTTTCCATAGATTATGATGCTAGAATAACATACTTTTAGAATAACATATTTTTTTATGAACTATCCATGTGTCTTGAATGTGGCTTCATGCATTTTTTTTCCTTTGAACAAAAATATCTTCAGTTTTGAAATGTGGAATGTGTCTTTGACCAACCTCTTGACTCCATTTCTTAGCATGTTCATATTATAAATTCCATATCAGGAAAATAAATTTAAGGGTGGTTGGAGAATTTTAATCCTAGATTTAGATGAAATATTTGTATATTGTTGAAATATTTTTGTTATATTCATTTCATTCTTTGGCATCAACATTATTGTGATACTATTAATAATAGAAGCATAGATTCATAAACCGGATTTGGATCTAACTGGATCTTACCAGTGGCAACAAATAGGGGCAAAAAAATTGTGAGTAAGTATAGATCCTGTATTTTTCTTTTCCTCTGCCTCAAAAAGAAAACAAAACAAAAACAAAAATGATGAAAAGGAAGACATTCAAGGCATTAGTTTCAATTTAGTCATGAGATATAGACGGTAAGTTGAATGCTAACTGCTTAGGTAATGCTAGTATCAGATTATATCCATTGATACACGACAAAGGGAATAGCAGTTCCCATCAGCTCTGAAAAGGAGGCCAAAAAGAGGTTCCTGTGTGTCCTCAGCTGGTAGCTGTGGCTTGGCAGATCACAAATGCTGAAGCATTGCAAAGATTACAAAAATAAAACCAGATTATTTTTTATTATTTAAAGTCAAGTAAGTTAAATTTTAGGATGAATTTGACTGTCAAAACACATAGTTTGCTACTGGATAGTGTAACTTTCCAACCCAAAGAATAGATTCTATCCTTCATAGTTAGGATAGTTAAACAACATGTGTATTCCAAAATATATAAAAAGCAATCATATGGATTCATGAGCAAAACCAAAAAAAAAAATACCAAAAAAAAACACAGCCAGAAGTGTAGCTATTATATAAAGTTGATTAATCTTATTAATTTTAAAGTTTATTCTTCAAGTTAGTGCTTTTACTCATGGTGATTGCCTGGACTAGTTGCAGTTTTCTTGACAAGATTTCAGAAATAGCTTATCTTTGCCTTCTTCCTGTGACTGAGACTGACTGGCTGAAAGTCATCCATGTGGTTTTGTGCCTATGGCAGGACTAGAAACTTTCTGGTTTCTAGTCTGGTGCTTGATTTCCATTTATGTTGTGTTATGTTATTTTGTGTTTTATTATGTTAATTATATTTATTATAGCAAATGGAAGAAATGTGAGGAAATGCTATTGTGATAAGTACATATTTTAAGACAAGCTCTGCCTATTTTAGTTCTTCTCTGAATTTCAAGTAAACCTTAGATGAGTTCATCCTAATTCTCCCGTGGATTATGGAGCAGCAGAAGAATGAAATGTGTGTAATTTAAAACACATTGCAGATTTCTTTGCAACATTCTATATTTAAAATATGTGCATCCAGCTGTTCAAGAGAATGCACCATAAACTAGTACAGATGTGAAGTTCTGTGTAACCATGAAACATTTGAAAAATGGCATCCATAGGATCTGTTTCAAAATTCCTTTGTAACTTCCAGCTGCTTCAGAAGCAGTTTACATGGGCTAAAAATGTGTCTATGCTGAGAGGAGATATTATTTGAGAAAAGCAAATCTAAACATTTATTGGGTTTTGAGGTTCTTTATTTCCTAGTGAATAGGGACACAGCTTAGTCTTTTTTCTAATTTTAAGCATGCCAGACTCCTACATTTCACCTTGTTGAATCTTATTGATTTTGTATGGTACCTTTTCAAAACTGGGAGATTGACTAGAAAAAATACCCTAGGTGTAAACTGAAATTATAGCATTTAATAAAAATCTAATTTAAAGGTCTCTCATTTTCTTCTCCCTTAATGGATGCTTCACATCAGCTACCTTTTTTGTTTTGTTGATTGTCTTCTCAATTAACAGTTATGGAAAACTTCAGACCCTAACATTAATTTAAAAGCTGTTCTCATCAAGTTGTCATAATATGAAACTCTTAAGAGCAGTTGAGGTTCATAAATCATCTGCATTTATGACATGCAGAAATCTTGCTTTCTGATAAAGACCTGCATGTTTTAGTTCCTGATAAATGTAGGACTGTAAAAGTCCTCTATCCTAAGTGAATAGCATAATTTTGATAGAGAATTTCCATTTTATTATTGTTTTGTTTTTAAAAGGCATGTGCTTGATTATTTGAATGAACCAAAATAAACTAGGAATTAAAAACTGTATTCCTTCAACTGTTGCTGAACTGTTATCCCATCACTGTCCACTATAGAGGGATGCTAAGATCATTTAGTGATATCTGATCCAGAAACTGAGTTTTATTGATGAAATACAAGACAAAGGCAAGAAGCAAATTGGAGGCATGATAATAAGCAACATGATAATGATCATGGAACTATATAGCAATAAATTTGACTTGACAAGAAAGGAACTAAAAGCATATTGTTTGTGTGTGTATTTGTATGTGTGTGTGTGTGTAGGGAGGGAGGGAGAGAGAGAGAGAGAGAGAGAGAGAGAGAGAGAGAGAGAGAGAGAGAGAGAGAGAGAGAGAGAGAGAGAGAGCCTTTCTTATGCATTGGCATAGCTTCAACAGGAAGAATCCACTGAAATGGAAAACAATGTTCATGAAAATCACATTCAGAGTTGGAATTACAGTATTTCAGAATTAAATAATAGTTTTATTCTAAGAAAGCATATTTTTGAATCTCCTGGAGGTAAGAAGATGAGATATCAAAGGAAAAATAGAACCAGGAACACTTACCATTTAAGCAGATTGGCTGCTTAAGGAAAACTAGGAAAGTTGTAGTGGGATTTATTCAGAAAAACCGAAAAATAAATATGAGATTTAGTTCTCCTAAGTGTCACCGTTATGTGTGGCATTGATATCTACTTTGATTAGGATTCTCAAAATATTCAATAGTTGCTTCCATTATGATTTTTATGGTTTTATGTTGACTGAACCTAAAAGTTTTCAATTTACATGCATTCAGAATATAATTTTATTCTGTAATAATTTATAACAAAAGCAATCATTTTTACATTTGATGAACTGTTCTTAACACTTAACTGAACACTTAATCTGAAAAGGCTTCGTGTAGTAATTAGATTTTAACTATATTCTAGTCTACATCTTTTATTTATTTTGCTTCCCCTTTCACCAGACAAAACTAGCATGCAGAAATTGTCTCTGCATCTAAGAGGATACAGTGTAACATTCTGGCTATGTTGAAATTTCCAAATTATTATTGTATAATAAAGTCAGAGATCTAAACACACATATATTTTGACAGTTTAGTGGAGTTGTTTTAATTCTTGTAATAGATAATGTGGAATTGAAAGATGTCATATCCATCAAAGCAATCTGTAGAGTTAGCTGTAAACTATGCAAGCACAAAAATCTGTGGCTTTTAGACATTCTTTTTTCATTGTATAGTTTCTTGAAGCTTTCAAGGGAAGTCAATTGTGACAGGTTGGCAGTGAAAAACCAAGGCAAGATAAGTTCTCTAGTGAAGAGAGCCAGCAGACAGAAACCCCCACAATCCTGGCTAAGTTTCTTTCCTTTTAAAATAAAAAGTAGAAAAGTCTTTCCATAGGAGTCCCAGCCACTGAAGAATGATATAGATAGCTATTACATCTGATGCTATTCTGGAGTATTAGTCACTTCTTGCTTGACTTGGTGTCTCAAGAATGTAGTGAAATTAATGAGATTGTTTAAGAAGTCAAAGTTCAATGGTGAGGCTGTATCTTCTGGCTGTGAATCCATTTGATCCTGAGCTTGATTCCTTTCAGTCTTTCGGACATTTAAAGGTATAAGTTTGAAAATTATGATGGAGTTTCATAATAGGCTCCATCTGTGTCAGTGGAGAAAAAAAGCTTGAGAAAAAGATGCTTAAATTATAGTGTAAATGCAATAAAAAAGTAGATTGCAAAATATCAGATTAAGTTTTTTAAAATATCTAGACATAACTAACTTAGTGGACATTTTGCTCTATTCTAAGGATTTAATGTTGAATGATTTTTTTATGCCAATATTTTAACGCATGGCAATATTATAATATTTCATATTCTGAAGAAAGAACATGAAATCATATTTGGTAATTGTATATACAATGAAGGTATTATCCATGAAAAATGGATATAAAACAATTAAAACAATTTTAGTATTAAAACAGTCATGATTTTTTTCATTACAGAAAAATGTTAGTTTAATTTGAGTTTGCGGTAATTATAAAGTATATATATATATATTTGTTTTCTGAGGTTTTCGCGGGTGTTTGTATGTAGGTCTTTGGTTATTCGGGTTTTCTCCCACGTAAAATTGGAAGTGTCTTGGCAATGTTTCGACGACGTCCCATTCGTCATCTTCAGGCTGGTGTTTTTGGCTTCGTGCTTCTAGCAATTGCTCCTAGAAGCACAAAGCCAAAAACACCAGCCTGAAGATGACGAATGGGACTTCGTCGAAACATCGCCAAGACACTTCCAATTTTACATGGGAGAAAATCTGAATAACCAAAATAAAATAGCTGCCCATTTTGATTAAAGTATTATATAATGGTTAAACAATAGTAAAATCAGTTTTACAATAATAAGTTGATTCCTTGCTGATATTGTCAACATTACATACAATCCTTATTACAAACTCAGGGAAAAAACTATTCTCTCAAAGTACTTATTAAAACATACTTATTTGAGAGTTTGTATATAAATATATACATTCATTCCAGTGAAAAAAATTGTAAAGGAATGCCAATGAAATTACAGTGAATTGCTGAAATCAATTTGCAAGTTATCAAACACTTTTCTATGGGAAATACTGAACTGAAGACAGAACTTTATTTTCTTTGCAGGAAGTTTGTTATTTCAAATGTCTTTAGTTATTTGACATCAATCAATGAAGATTGATTTCATCAGAAATTTTAATGAATGTTGTTCTTCTAAACATTATTAATAATTTGGATTATTTTTTCATGTATAATATCACTAATCATATGATATCATCTAATTTGTCATAAATACCTAGAGTTATTAGATTTGCATATTTAAATACAATGACTGTAACAATCTTTGTTTATGTTAGGTTTCAAACTGCAATGAAATATTGTAAAAAAGCATAAACAAAGAGACTGGAATTGTATATAAACTTTTAATCATTTTAGCATTGATATATATTAATAATATCTTTACCATTTAAAAAATACTTTTAAAATGGTTAATTTGTATTAGTCTGAGCCAATGCCTAGATTTTGTTGTGGACTAAAAGCTTTATGGCCTTTGAGCTTCACATTTACAATTTGATCAGCAATTTTTGTTCTGCATTTGTTGAAACTTTAGTAGAGCTTTCTGAACTGGAAAAATTAACCAAGGATTTCTCTGCAAAGTGCAGCCTTAGGAGATATCAGTGTTTAGGAATGGATGAGCACCAGGCAGCATGACCTGGAAATTATTGTGACTGCTTTGACATTTCACTTCTATTCTGAATACATTCAAAAGAAAGGGGACTTATATGTTGAAAAAAAAAATGAAGTGTTTTTTTTCCTTATGCCTTCTACATATATTCCAGAAGAAAAATGTTCATTTTAGGAGCCTGGAGAGAATATAAGTTTTAGTACTACAAAATGCTTTTAGTAGCCCTTTTACTCTTCAGATGTCAGAACAAGCCACTGGGCTTATATTTTTTTCAATTTTTGGAAAAAAAAATCATCTTTAAAATGACATTAAAGCTCTGGGTTAAGAGAGATGAACTAGGGCTAGGTCAGAAATTTAAGTACCATGAGCGTTGTAGTTTCATGCTTCGAGCTGACAAAGAGACTTAAAAATCAATAAACTGGTATTGATTACAAACCAGATTATTATAATTATATCTTCAAATCAGTATTGACTTCTGGTTCACTATTGTCTTCTTTCTAGGGCTGAGACAGAATAACTGGCCCAAGGTCACTCAGATGGTTTTGTGTTTAAGACGGGCCTGGAACTCACAATCTCCCATTCTCTAGCCTGGTACCATCACACAAAATTTGTTCATGATTAGATTAGATTAGTTAGATTAGATTAGATTAGACTACACTAGACTAGATTAGATGATTGAATTCTTCTCTAAACTTTATGTCAATTCTAGCTGAGTTCATCCTAATACTTAAGGAGCAGTAGATGACAAATTTTCCTAGGACCTTAAAACACATTACAAGCTCCTTTGTAATATGATACATTTGAAGTTTTACTGACAGTATTTTAAAATGTGGTTACCATAAGACATCAGTATAGGAACTTCTGTATAACTATGGAACATTTGAAAAATGGCACACATAGGATCTCAGTACTTGGTCAGAGTGACAAATTGAATTATGGGGCCATGGAAAAGGGGCAAAATTTGTGTCATGATGCTGCTTTCATTGGTCTGTCGCCCTTTGCTTCCCTCCCCCCCCCGCTGCTATTGAAAAAAACACCGCTTGGATAATTTGGAATGATTAATTTAGGTGCTGAGTTACACAAACCATCCTGCCTTAAAATATGTATGACTGTTATTAATACATAATTCATGGGGAAATCTTCGGTAGTAAATGTATTAATTTAGTTGCAAATGTTTGTCCAGGAAGTTCATTTGTGCATATAAATATCTCAATGGGCATTGCATTTTATTTAAAACATGATCATACTTTTTATTGCTTTTTAAATTTAAAATTTGTCCTTCTCATGCTCTTTCTGTGTACTGATTGTTTATTGTGTGTTTTGTTTTTTTTTGTTTGTTTGTTATTTGGGTTTTTTTTTTTTTTTGTCTGCTACAATTTTCATCATGTAGGCAAAATGCAGGATGGGAATATGGAAAACAGCCAGAATAAAGGTAATGTTCTTTATATCAAGGGAGATTGTTAAAATTACTCTAGAAAGCAAAATATTAGTGAGATCCGAATTGAGAGTTGCATTTGGGTAAAAGGTCAGTCTTTCCTTCCACAGAAATTGTTTGTAGAGATAGGTAGGAATGAGAAATCTCATCACTGGAAATTAGGCTATTTAGAAGCTCCTGTCAGTTTTGTGATGTAAGTATTAGAAAAAACGTACGGTGGATAAAACATAAAAATGAAATTCTGAATAGCAAAAGTGCGATATCATGAAAATGACCAGATCAAGCATATTTATAAAGAATGCTTTGTATTGTTACAGTAAAAGAGAGTGTAAAAAAGCAATTCATTTAAAAGCAAGAAGTTAAAAAAAAAGCGTTCAATAAAGTAGCTTGTTATTACAGAAGTGTCAAAGAACTCCATTGCTTGTGGTTGTTTAAATCTTTATGTTGGAAGTAAAATCCATATCCTTTGTTAGTCTGAATAACTGAAATGTCTGAAACAATTCTTAATAAAATGAAAACAAAGAGAATAATCAGCAAGACATTTTATTTTCTGCTAGCATCAGTGAGAGTCTTATTTACTCAGCAAGCTTTATCAAAATGTAAAAATTGTTTCTCTCATATCTTTAATAATTTTAACCATTTATGTTACTTAGTGAAAGGATTAGCCCTACAGCTGTGATAATCTTGGTTTATACATACAATATAGAAACACACGGATAGACCCCCCCCACAATCTTAAACATGCACATGCATGCATACAGTCTGGCATTGAAAGACTTGATTGCATATATTTAGTTTTCAGTATTTTTCAGCAAGAATGTGACACATCAATATTTCCCTTATCATTTGTCTGTACAAAATTTGTGATATGTAAACATGTATTTAATATATTATGTCTAAATTATCCTTTTTGAACTGAAGAAGAAAATATAAATAAAAAAACAGAAAAGTTTTGAGTAGCATATTATTTTGTTGATTTTTAACTGTTTTTAAGGCTTTTTATTAAGTTGTGTTTGTTGATTGTACACATCCAGAATGACAATTGTTTTAAATTGGCAGCAATATAAATTTCTTAAATACATACATGTAAAATTATAGAATTAGGAGGTAATTAGGGTATCACTAATCTAGGATTGTTCTTGAGTTACTTCAATCAGTGTATGAGCATATGTGGGAAGTGGAGATTAACAGATCTGGTAATCTGGTAGATCTCAGATTACTTACCTCTAACCTAACTCAGTTCTCTGATGATAAAGTGAAGTACTTCAGTGTTCATTTCCTTAAAGATTTTAAAGGAAGTCTTCATAAACATTGGTATATATACCATAGATTCAGTACACCTTCTGACGGTCATGGAGAAAAATTGAAAGTACTTTGAAATATTAAATTTTATTTATTTACTTATAACATTTATAGGCTGCTCATCTTACATAACTCTGAGCAGTTTAGAATAATAAAAAATAAAAACTATATAAACTAAAAGCATTAAATTATTATTTTTAATTCATATATAACCATTGTGTGAATTCATGAAACACCATAGCATTGTTGAAGAAATGGTAGATTTATGATTATGCAGTTGTAAATAAAACACATTTATTGTAAAAGTAGTAAAATATATAATATAATATATAAATATAATAAAATATATAATATAATATATATAAAATGTATTTAATAATGTAAGATTACTCAGTCTGTAGTGAATGCATAGATTAGCTGTGTAGATTAATTCATCCAGGCTGAAGATAAAGTAGCAAAAGATTTTATATCCAAAGTTCTTTATAGTATAAAGAATTATTAATGATTATTTATGGTAATGGTTAATTCTATTAAAATTATAATCCTGGTTCTTAGCTTTTCTAAGGCATGTATAATCCCCCCAAATACTGCTTTGTATTTAAGCCAAACAGCAGGATGGGGCAGCTGCTATGGAGATGCAGCCACTCAAGAGTGCTGAAGGTGGAGACGGAGATGATAAAGACAAGAGGAAAGCCAACATGCCTAAGAAAGAGAAATCTGTGCTCCAAGGGAAGCTAACTAAATTGGCTGTCCAAATAGGCAAAGCAGGTAAGATACATACTGATATTGTATATATTAAGTGAAAAACCCAAAAATAAGAGGCATCAGGTCTTATTTTTGTGGGATGTCTTATTTACCTCCGGCACTGCCAGCCCCGCCAGCTGGTCCGCTTCTTGTGGGGCCAAAGGATCAGCTTCATTGTGCAGCTGCATTCCAGCCTGCATTTTGCAGTCAGGCCTTTCTGGAAGGTCTACGATTCAATCCATAGCTTAGTCTTCGGCTGCAGAGATCTTGCAGGACACAGTAAAAGAATAGTTTTGATGTTAGATTTCTCAGTTTTGATGTTAGATTTCTAACATTAGTTTGCAGAAAACTGTCCTAGAAAATTTGAGAGAGAGCAATACATCAACACTCTCTAACATATTACTAGTTCACATGTGCTGCTAAATCAAAATATATTTGTTCGGTTTCAGGCTGATGTGTAAAGAATAAATATGGTTTGTAATTAACATGATGTGTAAGTTCAAACAACTTTGATTTATTAATCATCACCACAGTTTACAACAAACCTATTCTTACTGCCAACAAGAGAAAAAGGGAAAAATAATTTTCTTTCTTCTCCCCATAGCATCTGGAATGCACAATTATAATTCTAACCATTCTAACATTTTGTCTTTTACTATTGCACAAATATGGGTCAAATTAACAATTGACTATATGCAACATGTTCAAAATTTAAAATACCCTGTTTCTGTTCAAAACAGATTGTTTCAAATTCAAAGAAATTCAAATATGAAATGTTTTACACATCTGTCACTATAAAATGAAACCCAATTCAAAGAAATAGTAAAAATTTTTAGAGCAGCATGGAAACATCTATACCCCATTTGATATGAGAATTGCATTTTTTCAGTTGTGTATTGCATATATCAGTGTTCTTAAATTTAGGTATTATACATTTTTAAGGAGACAGTGTACCAAGTATATATAGTGGAAGAGAATTTTTAAAATTTCTGAACTATACTAGTTGTAATAAACCTTTATTCCTGTATTCTTTCTGATGTTATGACATCAGTGACTCTTAGATGTGCATATCTAGCAATGTTCTCTTTATTTCTGCAAATTAAAACATCCTCCATCTTTCACTTTTCACGGTCAAAACTTGAAATGACTAATTTTATTTAAATTTAGCAGTTTGTATGTCACTTTGAATATAAATATGCAAGCTAATTACATGCTTTTTTGAAAAATATGTGGCCTGTGGGCTAGCAGTTTGACACCTCTGCTCTAGAATGTTCTCTTTCTTTTCTCCATTGCATTTTTAATACAAAAAAAAAATCCTCTCCAAGAATTTATTTGCTGCTCATGTTTCTGGGCATTCGTATGTCTTAGACCAGGAATGTGCTATTCTAATGTAATATATAAAAGAGCAGATTTTATTTTTGAAATGATAATTGTTACATCACACAAAAAATACTTTTACAATAAAAATATATATTTGTCTCTTCCAGGTTTGGTAATGTCAGCAATCACTGTCATCATTTTAGTACTATACTTTACTATTGAAAACTTTGTTGTCAAGAAGAAGCCATGGCTGCCTGAATGCACACCTATATATGTTCAGTATTTTGTCAAGTTCTTCATTATTGGTGTGACTGTGCTTGTAGTTGCTGTTCCAGAAGGACTTCCACTGGCAGTTACCATATCCCTTGCTTATTCTGTAAAAGTAAGTAGCAGTCTGAAAACTAATGTAAAATTAAAAAAAAAAAAAACTTATGCACAATTCTTTCAGGATAATATTTAAGGTAACGATAAAGGTTTCTTCAGTCATGCCCAATTCTAGGGGATGCTGATCATTTCTGTTTCTTAGCCAAGGGAGTCAGCATTGTCTGAAGACATTTCTGAGGACATTTGGCCAGCATGACTACATGGTGAGGCGCACAGAACGCTGTTACCTCCCCCCTGAAGTGGTATCTATTGATCTACTCACATTTGTATGTTTCAAACTGCTAGGTAGGCAGGAGCTGGGGCAAGTAATGGGAGTTCACCTGTTGCGCAACACTTAGTTCTTGAATCCAAGCTGTCAGCTTTCCAGCTGACAAGCTCAGCGTCTTTAACCACTGAGCCTCTTTAACCTCTCAGCTTCTTTAACCTCTGAACCCCCTTAGGATAATGTTATTTGCCAGTAAATCTTTTCAAAACAATGCTATTTTGTTAGCAAATTAAACTAAACTATACTTGCGTATTTGGTTGGAACAGGAGCTAGTCTTAAATATTTAAGGCCAAAGAAGTGATAATGAAGATTTTCATTAGGAGAATAAGTATTACCTACTTACAGAGCTAAGATGCTATTACTGAAGCTGTATGTACTTGCTATTGTGATAAGCACACTTTGTACTCTACCATTGCCATTAACTGTTAGTGGAGCTCCTACAGAGATTTTGAAGGCAGGTGGAGAGGGAAGACAATTTGTTTTGAATGCTGGAGTGTCTCCTGTTCTTTGATGCATTTTATTTCATACTATAAGAAGCTGCACAGTGGCCAATATTTGCTTAATTTTTCTAATGTATTCAGAAAACAGTCAGATTCTGCTTCAAGGCTTCTAAGACCCAAATCTCTGTTTTGTTCTCCAGGCTAGTTTTTTCTTGTCCAAGTCCATGTGGCCTGAGGTTTTTGACAGAAGATAATTCAGTATTAGCCCAGTTTCAGAGCCCAGTTTCTGGCCATAACAAAAGCTGAAGGCTCGCAGGAAACTGTTTCTGTCCACTTACAAATTTCACTCTGTGTTCTTTAGTTTGTTTTGGGATAGATAGTAACACTAACAACATAACAGAATTGGAAGGGTCCCTGGAGATCTTCTAGTCAATCCCCTGCTCAAGCAGGACACCCTATACCATTCTGGACAAATGGATGTCCAATCCCTTCTTAAAACTCTTCTACGATGGAGCACCCACAATTTCTGAACGCAAGCCGTCCCACTAGTTAATTGTACAAAAGAGGGTTTTTAAAGAAGTCTTTTTTAAAAAAAAAAAATCAGTATTGTAATGCCGTATATTATGACTGTCTAACTTGATGGTTTTATTGTACAGATATAGTCAAGTAGGGAAGAAAAAAAGGCAGCTGACACAATTCTCAACATTAAATAAAGATTTAAGATGTAATTGAAAAAACATTGATTTGGATAGAATTCTTTTCCTTATATTGCAGGTTTCCCTGACGTATATATTTTATGCAAGGTTGGCTCTGGATTTCTTTGGCTTACAGAGACAATATAGTTTGAAATATCTGAAGGACTATCACACATAAGAGGGAGTGCAATTATTTTACCAAAGAACAGTACCAGAACAATTGGATTAAAATTTCAGGGAAGGAAATTCAGGCTAGGCCTCAAGAGGAACTTCCAGTCTGTATGAACTGTAGGCCAATGATGCAGATAGCCTCGTAAAGGTTCATGCTGTCTTCCAATTATGCCTGATCCTGGATGGGAGAGCTTTACCCATGGTCACTTATGCCTTAATTACCTCCCGAATGGACTATTGCATTTCACTTTATATGGGGCTGCCCTTGAGCAGCCTCTGGAAGCTGCAGCTGTCACAGAATGCAGTGACCTAGGGCAGTTATATGCGCTTTTCAATCAGTGCATATTACATCTCTGTTCTGCAGGCTGCATCAGATGCCAGTCTGCTTTCAGGTTCAATTCAAGGTGTAAAGCCCTTCAAGACATGTGCCCAGGTTATAAGGAACATTTCTGTCCTATTATGTCTAACCATCCATTAGGTCTGGCAAGAAAGACATGTTCTGTCTCCTTTCTAACAGGGACTGCCATCTTTTCTATCCTTTTGGAACATCATTTCCCCAGTGATTAATTTGAATCAGTTCCCTCTAAGGGCCTTCCAACTCTATGATACTATGAAGTGGTTGACAAGTTGTGGCAGGAAACAAATGATGTAGAGTCATGGAATATATTGTTGTTGTTATATTATTATTACTTTCAGTGACTTTCTGTGCATGTACCTTTAAAGAGAGAGAGAGAGAGAGAGAGAGAGAGATCTGAAGGTACATTCTGATCTGAGGCTTTTTTTTCTTTACAGAACAACCTGCTAAATTAATATTATGCCAGCTGCTGTCTCTATTCATACTTGTACTTAATTTGATTCGTCTTTGCTAAATAGCTTGACCTAAGTAGGCTCTCAGGTCTGTGCAGCAAAACCTTTGAAATATTGTTTGATCCCTGTACTGGTATCAACATTCTGTTAGCTCTAGAAATCCTAACTTTCCAATTCAAGGAATCTAAAATTTATTAAGCTGGTAGCATGCAATCATGCTGAAGAGTGAGATGAAAAAGTCAACCCAGGCTGCTTTAAAAATAGATTCCTTACTTGGAATTCAAAAGAAGAGAAATGAAAATAGAACTGACAATGCATTAGTGCCATTATGTAAAATTATGATGAGACTGTAATTGGAATTCTGTGTACAGTTTGGGTTAAGCACGTAAAAAACCCCTCTAGACCTGAATAAAGTACAAAAAAGAATACATAAAATGATGGGTTATCATCTGGGGCTTTCTCTAGGTGCTATCTAATGGAGATACATGAAATAAGCATAATATGGAAGATGTGGATAGAGATAAATTTTTCTCTTTCCCTGGAAGGTTAGAATTCAGGGTTATTCTCTGATATGAATGCAAGGAGATAAAAGGATGTCCCTCTTTACATAATAGAGTTACACCATTGAAATTGTTGCCATCTGATCTAACGTTCACTAATTTAGACTTTTAGAGAATGCATGACAAAGGCCAGTTATTTTGCATGAAGTCCCATTTAAAGTCTGATCAATTTACTAATTCTTACCTCATTTCCTATTTTAATTCCTTAATGATTTGCTCTTCCATTTTTGGTTCTTATTCTCAAGCTTCTTCAGTTGTGTAGCATTCCCTTAGAATCTTCTCATTGAATACATCTCATTTCCTTTTCTTTCTATATTATGTTCATAATTTTTACTACTACTACTACTACTACTACTACTACTAATAATAATAATAATAAAGTTGGAAGTGACCTTGGAGGTCATCGAGTCCAACCCCCTGCTCAGGCAGGAAATCCTACACCATTTCGGACAAATGGCTGTCCAGTCTCTTCTTAAAAACTTCCAGTGTTGGAGCATTCACCACTTCTGGAGGCAGGTTGTTCCACTGGTTAATTGTTCTAACTATCAGGAAGTTTCTCCACAGTTCCAGATTGCTTCTCTTCTTGACTAGTTTCCATCCATTGCTTCTTGTCCAGCCCTCAGGAGCCTTGGAGAATAGTTTGACTCCCTCTTCTTTGTGGCAGCCCCTGAAATATTAGAATACTGCTATCATGTCCCCCCTAGTCCTTCTTTTCATTAAACTAGACATACCCAATTCTAGCAACCGTTCCTTATATGTTTTAGCCTCCAGTCCCCTAATCATCTTTGTTGTCCTTCTCTGCACTCTTTCTAGAGTCTCAGCATTTTTTTTTTACATCGTGGTGACCAAAACTGGATGCAGTTATTCCAAGTGTGGCCTTACCAAGGCATTGTAAAGTGGTATTAATACTTTACATGATCTTGATTCTATCCCTCTGTTAATGCAGCCCAGCACTGTGTTGGCCTTTTTGGCAGCTGCAGCACACTGCTGGCTCATATTTAAGTGATTGTCCACTAGGACTCCGAGATCCCTCTCACAGTTACTACTATTGAGCAAGGTACCCCCTATACTATACCTGTACATTTGGTTTTTCTTGCCTAAATGTAGAACTTTACTTTTTTCACCTTGAATTTCATTTTGTTAGATAGCGCCCAGTGTTCAAATCTGTCCAGATCCTCCTGTACCTTAAGCCTGTCTTCTGGAGTGTTGGCTATTCCTTCGAGCTTGGGGTCATCCACAAATTTGATGAGTTCCTCATCTATCCCCTTGTCCAAATTGTTGATGAAGATATTGAAGAGCACTGGGTCCAGAACAGAGCCCTGGGGCACCCTAATATACTAATATTAGTTGGGGGTTACCTATACTTAATTTCAGGGCATTATGAGGGTAACAGGTTGGAGAAAGGTTATTAAATTAATAATGTTGGTAAAGGAACAATTTCATTAGAAATTGTTAACATAAAATTAATACTCTAGTGAAGACTATTTGCTAGAAATAATCAAAGAGGCAACTTAAAATTATTATTGACACTTTATTGCAATGAATAGGTAGCCACTTTATGTCTTCCTTTTTTCAATATTGTAAAATTCTTTGCCTCATATTCTTGAAAAGTTTCAAAATCATCTTATTTATTTATTTACTTATTTACTTACTTACTTATATTTATTTATTAAATTTATGTGCCACCCATCTCACTGTTGAGTGGCTCTTGGCATATATATGAGTCATATTAATTTCACAGTTTCAGGAAGTGAATGCAAATGCATTTTGTGTACCTGAGCATATATGACTGTTATCAATAATAACTATAATTGATTTTGTTAGCACATTAATTTTTAATTTATATAAGGTTATTGTCTTACACCAATATTTTATAAAATTTAAAAATAAAATTATTTTTAAATGATTATGCATTCTGTAAGAATGAAATATTGATCTGTATGCTTTCCCTTTCAGAAAATGATGAAAGATAACAACCTGGTCCGTCACTTAGATGCATGCGAGACTATGGGAAATGCTACAGCCATCTGCTCTGATAAAACAGGGACATTAACAACTAACCGAATGACAGTAGTACAAGCCTTTATTGGAGATGTCTATTACAAAGAGATCCCTGATCCAGATTCTATTCCAGCCAAAACAATGGATTTGTTGGTTAATGCAATTGCCATCAACAGTGCTTACACTACAAAGATTCTGGTGAGTGGATTATTTTCAAAAACAAAAGGCTGTAAGGCATGAATGTTGGCTTGGAAACCTCTCTTATTTTTTTTAAAAAATGGTGAGGTGATGTAATAATCAACAGTGTGACAAAAAAGCATTGGTATGTCTTCTCTTTTGTGTATATCTATGTCTCTGTCTCTATACCAATATATATCACATGGATTCTGTAATTTACCAGCAGATAAGCCTCACTGTATTTAGTGTCTATATTTTTTCTGAGTAAGTACAAGAATTAATTTTCAAATTAAAAAATGAATTTCAAAAGATGGAAAAAGTTGCTTTCTGTATTTTTGCGCTTGAACATAATACATTTTTTTTTGTTTAGAACTCAAGCTGGTTAGAGAGAACAACAGCTATAATAACATAATTGTCAACCCTAAGCCCAGAAATTCAATGGTGAAAAAAGTAAGGTTCTACATTTAGGCAAGAAAAACCAAATGCACAGGTATAGAATAGGGGGTACCTTGCTCAATAATAGTAACTGTGAGAGGGACCTCGGAGTCCTAGTGGACAATCACTTAAATATGAGCCAGCAGTGTGCTGCAGCTGCCAAAAAGGCCAACACAGTGCTGGGCTGCATTAACAGAGGGATAGAATCAAGATCACGTGAAGTATTAATACCACTTTACAATGCCTTGGTAAGGCCACACTTGGAATAACTGCATCCAGTTTTGGTCACCACAATGTAAAAAAGATGTTGAGACTCTAGAAAGAGTACAGAGAAGAGCAACAAAGATGATTAGGGGACTGGAGGCCAAAGCATATAAGGAACGGTTGCTGGAATTGGATATGTCTAGTTTAATGAAGAGAAGGATGAAGGGGGACATGATAGCAGTATTCAAATATTTCAGGGGCTGCCACAAAGAAGAGGGAGTCAAGCTACTTTCCAAGGCGCCTGAAGGCAGGACAAGAAGCAACGGATGGAAACCAATCAAGGAGAGAAGCAACCTAGAACTAAGGAGAAACTTCCTGACAGTTAGAACAATTAACCAGTGGAACAACCTGCCTCCAGAAGTGGTGAATGCTCCAACACTGGAAGTTTTTAAGAAGAGACTGGGCAGCCATTTGTCTGAAATGGTATAGGGTTTTCTGCCTGAGCAGGGGGTTGGACTCGATGACCTCCAAGGTCCCTTCCAACTTTATTATTATTATATAAACAACACTGAGAAATCCAATTGAGTTCAATCCTTTATTTGCTTACATCTAATGGACAAAATCTTGTCAGACTTAAGCTATATTAGAGCCTACCAGATATACCCTGAACTTCTTTCCTCTTCCCTCATCCAGCTCAGGACTGCTCAGTCTCTTAATCTGGGCCTCTCTTTGGGAAAGCTATATGTTGCCAAAACTGTCTCTCACTGCTCCTCAATTGTGCTATCACAATAATATTTATATTGAACTTTCAGTTATGACTTGTATGACTTGTAGTATTCACTAGAGTGATATCCATTTGTGCAAGAAGTTCCCCATAGTGTACATGCTATTCTGTTCTTGAATTTCCCCCTCACAATAATAATTGCCTGGAATAGATTGCACTGAAAGAGGGTGGTGACTTAAAATGCACCTAAAACTGATCACTGTAACACAGTACCTATGATATTTATGGAAACCCTGAGAATTACATTAGTATTATTCAGATATTCAAACTGAGCATGAAAGACAGTGGCCTTCCTAACATACAGGGGTGGGATTCAGCCAGTTTGCACCACTTGGGCAGAACCGGTAGCTAATTTTTTGTTGCCCAGGCCCAGAATGGACTTCTGGAAGTGGCATCCACACAGAGAACCGGTTATTCACATATTTGAATCCCACCACTGCTAAGATACCATTAGGAAACATGATGACATCATAGACACTCATATCCAATTAGATTTGGCTAGATGATATTGACAGCAAGGACAAAGAATTCCTTCTTTTATTGGAAAGATATTGTGAGACAAAAGAATATGCGCCCCTTGCCACGTGTCACTGTCAATTTCATTGCCAGGGAGAATTGCCTGGAAATTTTTTTCTGCCAAATGAAATTCAATCTCATGTAAATTTTGCATAACCAATTAGGTAAAATGTCTTTGAGAACAGATTTGAAGCATGGTTCAACGGGTATCCCATATATACTCCTCACCAGTTAATAAGACAAAGTGATGGGCAGAGAGGGGCCGATAGATCTTTTGCAAGCAAAACAAGCAGAAAATGGGTTATTTGTCAACAACTGTAGAATTACAGCCTTATTTGTATTATATTACCTGTTATATAAAATACATGCAAGCATTGTGTTTATAAGAAATAGATTCTTCGCTGGATGTTAATGTTAAATTTGGAATGAATTATCAGTCTATATTGTCAACTGTCTGGTTTTGCCAGAATGAAACTGTTATTTTCAAGCATGCTGAAATGTTGCTCTTTATGAAGAAGCAATTTATTATTTGGTTTGTTAGATTTGTCTCCTGAGAGACTTATCTGGAGTTCTCCCTATGTTTTGTTCATACAATGGCAGTCCTATGAGTTAGGCTGGGCTGAGGGAGATTAACGCAATGAGTTTCCTGTTAATGTTTAAGATGGATTTGAATGTAGGTTTTCCCAGAACCTAGACTTATCCTTTAATCACCATACCACAGACTTTCATTGTGAAAGAGGACTTGAATCAAACAAAAGATTATTGGTTAAGACTACTGCAAAAGCAGCTGAATGAGATGAGTTTCTATCTCTGCTAGGGGGTCTAAACAGCATATCTCCACTTCTGCAGAGACATTATGGAAAACAATTGGGATATCAGATGCCATCTCAATACTCCATTACTATGCTTTGAGAATTTCTTTTGGTACAAGTCTGCCATGAATTCTGGGGGCCAAATGGGTGGGGAGTAGAGTATGCTTCAGCAGAATGAAAGTTCGCTGTTCCTTTCCAAGCACAGGAAAACTGCTTGGGAATGGAGCACAGCTGCATTCCTTAGGAGACCGTTCTGAAAACATCTCTTTTAATTTTGAATGGACATGAGAGGACCAGCTATGGGAAGCACTTTCGGAAAGGAAAAGTTACACTTGGTATTTGGGTGCACAAATTTTAGTTATGGCATTATGCTACTATATTTCACTTGGATTCTAGTAAACGATATCTTTCCCAACCTGAGAAAAATTTTATACCAAAGCTTTTGTGTATTGTTCAAGTTCTTTGTGTTCTTTTATCTTGCTTTGTCCAAGTTTCAGATATGCTGCAATTAAAACTATACAAAAAATAAAATAAATAATACCTACTGTTGAACAGTAAAACACCAACAGCAACTTGAGTCAAGTGCTGATAGTGAAAAATATTCCTTGTCATTACTACTGTGAGTCTAAAGAGAATAAAGTCCTCTATACTAAATGATAAATGGAGATTAAACATATTCCCACTTGGCATCTCTAATCAAGTTCTTCTTCATTATCCATCATGTTATATATTCATCATACTATTCACTCTCAAGGTAAGGACTGTTATGCAAAAAAGCACAGAAATGAAATAAGAGAACCAACAAAGGCATGAGTTAATAAAAGAAACATAGCTAAACTCTATTTTGCATCAATAGCAATCTCTAAAACTCAGTGCCTTTTTATTGTTACAAGCATTTCTGTGCATATAATTTTTTTCTTTTTTCCTTATAGTTTTCTTGCAGTTATTTTCTTCTATTTATCACCCATAGTCCGTTTCCCTTTATCATTCTACTAAACATATACTAAACAGTATTGCCAAAACAAAGAAAAGTGTGCTGTTCATGTTTACATCATAATGTTGCACACAAGAGGCAGAATTTAGGTTGTGATATAAGTGCCATTTGCCTTGCCTGCCTCCTTTGTGAATGCACTTGAAATGCATTTAGAAAATCCCCATGTAATTTTAAGTGGGTGTAGAATTGAAATCAACTTGATGCCATATAGTAAAAATCAATCATCTTTGATTTTTGAAGCACCTCACTTCTACCTTTCTGTATGTTGTTGAAAATGGTTTCCTTCTGAGTGTCCATTCAGGAGTTTAATAGGTTAGTTGATTGGGCAGGTGGATATATTATTCTTTCCATTATTTGTAATAATCTTAATCTTTAGTTTCTTTAAGTGTAATCTTCATTCCTTCTAATTCTTTCTGATTCCCTCTAGCATCAAATCATCTAAGTCTCCTCCTATCTCCTTCTATCACTTTTTAAAGAATTTGAAACAAAAGGATTCTCCAATGGAAAGGATTCTTACAATTAATTCCAAAATCTTATTTCAAATCCAACTGGACCCTTAGTTCATTCGTAACTTTCCAAAATCCAGATTCCAGAATCAAAGTTCTAATCACCCTTAAAAGAATTTTAAGTCTTTAAACATACATTTTGCTAAGGATTGAAGAAAATTCACATGGTGCTATAAATGTTGTCGATCCAAAGGTTCCTAACAGCTGAAAAACAGTTAACAAGGAATTTCTGAAAGTGATTAGAAAAGGAAGTATGCATACCCAGTGTCATGTCCCCAGAGATCTAAAGCTGCTGGAGATTGCTGTTCCTCTCGTGAGGAGCAACTGTCTGAAGCATTTGTAGTTGATCTCAAGTCTTCTCATTGTCTGGAGAGGAATTAGAGTCGGTCTACTGATCTTCCACTATAGTCTTTAATTTGTCACTTCTTCCTCTGAAGTCTTTTAGTTCACTATTTCTTCCCTGGAGTGACAAGGATTTGTTTATAGATAAGAGATGGGATATATTGTAGGAAAATCATTTTTTTATATTTTAAGAAAAAGTAACAAGTTACTAAACTTGTATGTACTTGTTATGATGAAGGGGAAGTCATCTCTCTCTCTCTCTCTCTCTCTCTCTCTCTCTCTCTCTCTCTCTCTCTCTCTCTGTTTTTCTTTAATATATTCTTCTTTCTCTTTCTTTTCTCTATTTTTCCTTTTCTTCACCTTCTATTTTTCTTTTCATATTTTTATTTTTTAATTGTAATTTAATATTACAGTATAAGTATAATTTT